ACCCCCCCTCCGTGCCACCTACCTCACACTGGCATCATTCATGGTGGAGCCCCCCGTGGCATTATTTGTTGGGGGGGTTATGTATTATAAGTGAATAAACACAGAGCGGGCCGGAGGATACAATGTCACCTCTGAAGACGTTTCTCCAGCTGTCCGTGTTCCGTCACATCCCATGGAAGGAACGTTTCCCTCCCGGGTATTGATATATTTCCAATAATAAAATGTATCCATATTATGTGATACCATGCCCCTCCCCCCATGACCGGGTGTTGCCGCCTCAGAACCGTGTAGAACTTTCCAGTGTATATGGACGGGGAAACTACAAATCGAATATCAGAAACACCGGAAATTGTAATGAATTGTTGAGCACTGGCAGTCGGACTTCCATTTGTTTGTCATGTCCCCGTGTTCCTCCTCCTAGTATGAGGTCATGTCCCCGTGTTCCTCCTCCTAGTTTGAGGTCGTGTCCCCGTGTTCTTCCTCCTAGTATGAGGTCATGTCCCCGTGTTCCTCCTCCTAGTATGAGGTCATGTCCCCGTGTTCCTCCTCCTAGTATGAGGTCATGTCCCCGTGTTCCTCCTCCTAGTTTGAGGTCGTGTCCCCGTGTTCGTCCTCCTAGTATGAGGTCATGTCCCCGTGTTCCTCCTCCTAGTATGAGGTCATGTCCCCGTGTTCTTCCTCCTAGTATGAGGTCATGTCCCCGTGTTCTTCCTCCTAGTTTGAGGTCATGTCCCCGTGTTCTTCCTCCTAGTATGAGGTCATGTCCCCGTGTTCCTCCTCCTAGTATGAGGTCATGCACCCGTGTTCTTCCTCCTAGTATGAGGTCGTGTCCCCGTGTTCTTCCTCCTAGTCTGAGGTCATGTCCCCGTGTTCTTCCTCCTAGTCTGAGGTCATGTCCCCGTGTGCCTCCTCCTAGTTTGAGGTCATGTCCCGTGTTGCTCCTCCTAGTTTGAGGTCATGTCCCCGTGTTCTTCCTCCTAGCGTGAGGTCATGTCCCCGTGTTCTTCCTCCTAGTATGAGGTCATGTCCCCGTGTTCTTCCTCCTAGTATGAGGTCATGTCCCCGTGTTCCTCCTCCTAGTATGAGGTCATGTCCCCGTGTTCCTCCTCCTAGTATGAGGTCATGTCCCCGTGTTCTTCCTCCTAGTCTGAGGTCATGTCCCCGTGTTCCTCCCCCTAGTATGAGGTCATGTCCCCGGGTTCCTCCTCCTAGTATGAGGTTATGTCCCCGTGTTCCTCCTCCTAGTATGAGGTCATGTCCCCGTGTTCCTCCTCCTAGTATGAGGTCATGTCCCCGTGTTCCTCCTCCTAGTATGAGGTCATGTCCCCGTGTTCTTCCTCCTAGTATGAGGTCATGTCCCCGTGTTCTTCCTCCTAGTATGAGGTCATGTCCCCGTGTTCTTCCTCCTAGTATGAGGTCATGTCCCCGTGTTCTTCCTCCTAGTATGAGGTCATGTCCCCGTGTTCTTCCTCCTAGTATGAGGTCATGTCCCCGTGTTCTTCCTCCTAGTATGAGGTCATGTCCCCGTGTTCTTCCTCCTAGGATGAGGTCATGTCCCCGTGTTCTTCCTCCTAGTATGAGGTAATGTCCCCGTGTTCTTCCTCCTAGTATGAGGTCATGTCAACGTGTTCTTCCTCATATTTTGAGGCAGTCATGTCCCTGTGTTCCTCCTCCTAGTATGAGGTCATGTCCCCGTGTTCCTCCTCCTAGTCTGATGTCATGTCCTTCCCCCTAGTCTGAGGTCATGTCCCCGTGTGCCTCCTCCTAGTATGAGGTCATGTCCCCGTGTTCTTCCTCCTAGTATGAGGTCATGTCCCCGTGTTCTTCCTCCTAGTATGAGGTCATGTCCCCGTGTTCCTCCTCCTAGTCTGAGGTCATGTCCCCGTGTTCCTCCTCCTAGTCTGAAGTCATGTTCCCGTGTTCCTCCTCCTAGTCCCCGTGTTCCTCCTCTTAGTCTGAGGTCATGTCCCCGT